GGGGGGGGGGGGGTTGACGCATGTCAAAAATGGTCTAAAATAAATGATTTTCTTTCCTATATTTCCAATAAATATATCATTCTTGTGGTCATTCTTGACCTTTATTTTGTTGCCTTTTTCCAGGGACATCGGCCCCCCCACCCACTTTTGTTTTTCTATTTTGGCACTCTTACTTTTGACACTTCTCAACTTTTAAGAAAAAGTAATTATTTAATTTTTTAGCTATAAATGGGTTAAAAAAGCTATAAAATCCGAATACGGGTTTCTCGGTTTAACGAGGATGAGAATTCCAATATTTAAAGGCTTCATTAGTGACAACCCACCCACCCCCCCTCTCAACCATCTAAGTTAATATTATACTTGATATATATATTCTACTTTTCAATATTGAATATAAATGAGAGATCGAGATATCTAAACTAAAAAAAAAGTAGATTGCAGATGTTTTGATTTTTAACTTTAACACACTGATGATATTTCAACCATCAAAAGCAATAAAAACAATTTTTCTAATGCCATGAAGAGGTACAATATATCTTTATATATACTTTGCTTGTCTATCCAGACAAGGTTTATGGATGATTAAATTTTCAAAAATTTGCCTTTAACAAAAATCGATTTTTGAAAATTTAGAATTTCACGATTTTTTTATAAAAGCCGCGAAAATTTAGTTTACAAAGAGAACATGCTCACAGCTAGAGCCACAATAAAACGTTTAGATAGAATATGGGCGCGAAGCACCCTAAAATCAATATATTTTTAACAAAATATGTTTTAATTGGGAGTCCTCCTCTGCAGACTGAATACCTATTTTATAAAATACGTATATTTTGTTTATCGGTTTATTTTGATTTTAAAAAAATCAAAACTAATTGGCCTTGGGTTAAAAATGTTTTCGAACTTTGCATTGCCAACTCTAGGGAAGGATGTTGTTGTTAAAGCTCACCCACTTTTAAAAATCAGATTTTCACCATTAAAAAAGCCCAGAAAAATCTTTAAAAACTTTTTTTTAACATTAAAAGGCTAGAAAAAGAGGCGTGAAGCACTCTGGATTGAAAGTCTAGTTTGATATCTTGAATTTAGATTTAGAACGTCTAATTTTGTCCAATTAGCCAGGCTGGGAGATGTGTGTTTATACAACGTAAGGTTTTTGGAAATGCGATTATATAAATTCGATATCGCGCGTTCTATATTCTGTAGAGAATTATTGAGCACCATTTCTCTATCCAACAAATACCGGTTTTTGAAGCTGTGCAGTGCATCTGAAGGGGTTGCTTTCTGAAACTTCTGACAATGATGTTCATTCTTTGCGTGCATATCGATATTAAGTAATATACAATACAAATGATGATAGTATTTTTCCGTTAGTTGAAAAATATAAATTGAGTTTATATTTTTCCGAATTCGTTTATAAAATAGATATCAAGTTCGTAATTTTCCAGTAACCAAGCTTTAATTCTCAATGTAAACGGTATAGCAGTAATTGACACGGATAGACTTAGGCAGGGGCGGATACAGGGGGGCGGGGGGACATTCGCCCCCCCTGACATATTCAGGGAGGGGCGTAGACCCCCCCTGAGATTTCGAGGCAAAAAATGTTCTCAATTTGATAAATCGTATGTGTTTTTCAATTTCAAGCTATTTGATTATTTTTTATTTGATGGAAATATAACCATTAAAGGACGAAAAAAATATTTTTCCAGCTTGTTAAAAATAAATATAACCAACGATGTAAGTATACAACGACATTGTGTTATGTTTTATTGGTGTTAATATGCGGCACATCTTGACTTTCTTTTCTTCAGTTTAATTTAAAATCAACGACAACAAGTAAATGTTATTAAGTTAACGATAAATTAAGAATTAGAATTTTGTAAGAAACTAGACTTAAGTTATAATATTGTTCATATCTAGTAATGTTCCTTAATCAATACTCATTTATCAAAATTGTAATATTGTTCCTAATTTTCATGCATTGAAGTATAACTAGTAATTTCTTTTTGTTCTTAAATTGCTAATGTTCCTATTATTGTTCCTGTTCCTTAACATCTCCTTAGTTCTTTTCTCATTGTTGCTAAACTAAACTCTCCTTAGTTCTTTTCTCATTGTTGCTAAACTAACCTTTCCTTAGTTCTATTCTCATTGTTGCTAAACTAACCTCTCCTTACTTACATTCTCATTGTTGCGAAACTAACCTCTCCTTAGTTCTATTCTCATTGTTGCTAAACTAACCTCTCCTTAGTTCTATTCTCATTGTTTCTAAACTAACCTCTCCTTAGTTCTATTCTCATTGTTTCTAAACTAACCTCTCCTAAGCTCTATTCTCATTGTTGCTAAACTAACCTGAACTTTGTGTTGACCTCGCACTGAAAATCTCCTCGAATACATTGATAGTTCCTGGCTCCAGATCTACGGAAGAATGCCCGGCAGCTGTAGCAACAAATTGCCCCTGAAAATTCATTTGGTAGAGGGAGTGTTCGCCTTTCTCGTGGAGACTCTCTTTAAAGAACATTACATAGATGTCTTGGTTTGTTTAATGAGGGAAACTGATGATATTATTTTTCTAAAATAATATGGGGCTGCCAATAAAGTCTCAGGAAATAAGATTACAAGAATTAAAGTCTTGAAGAAAAAAGTCCTATGTCTTGGGAAAATGAGGTCAAGTCCTAAAATTTTTCATAAAACGGACATTACTTATATGCATCTTCATATTGAATATACCCAGGGGTATTAATGTCAAGGTCCTTTTTTCCATGGTTGTAAACATCTTTTGATTCCATGCATTTTCCACTACGTGAAAGGACTTTTTTCCAGGGACTTTTTTGTATAAAATTTGTAATGAATAAGATCTGTAGTAGTAGTCCTTCAACTGTTCTCAGTCTCACCGCAATAAATGAGATCTATAGCAGTAGTCCTTTAACTGTTCTCACCGTAATAAATAAGATCTGTAGCAGTAGTCCTTTAACTGTTCTCACCGTAATAAATGAGATCTGTAGCAGTAGTCCTTCAACTGTTTTCATCGCAATAAATGAGATCTGTAGCAGGGATCCTTCAACTGTTCTTACCGTAATAAATGAGATCTGTAGCAGGAGTCCTTTAACTGTTCTTACCGTAATAAATGAGATCTGTAGCAGGATCCTTTAACTGTTCTTACCGTAATAAATGAGATCTGTAGCAGGATCCTTTAGCTGTTCTCATCGCAATAAATGAGATATGTAGCAGGGATCCTTTAACTGTTCTTAACATAATGAATAAGATCTGTAGCAGGGGTCCTTTAACTGTTCTTACCGTAATGAATAAGATCTGTAGCAGGGGTCCTTTAACTGTTCTTACCGTAATAAATACGATCTGTAGCAGGGGTCCTTTAACTGTTCTTACCGTAATGAATAAAATCTGTAGCAGGGGTCCTTTAACTGTTCTTACCGTAATGAACATGTTCTGCAGCAGGGGTCCTTTAACTGTTCTTACCGTAATGAACATGTTCTGCAGCAGGGGCCCCACAGACCCAGCACTGTTTATTTAAAACTGCTTTTTTCTTCTTAAACTTTTCATCATCAGAAAACATTTGTCCTTAAATAAATTCATTTGAAGTACTGCTTGTATAATCCTAAGTTTTAATTTTCATACGAAAATTTAATTTCTTTATTTTCGCTTTAAAGCGTTTTTACAACAGTCCTAATTGTGTTAAAAAAATATTTTGTTTCCTAAAGAATAGTCGAATAATAGCAGTCAATATGTGAATAATTTTTCGTTGAATACTAAAATAATGTATATATTCAAACTGTTAAAGCAGGTTCTGTATTAAGTAATTAATTTAATTATGTTCAATATGTTCTACTACGCTGGATGTATTAATAGGCGGCTTGCTGCTCTGGTTATTATTTATTAATTTCAGTAAGCTTTCACCTTTATACTTGCAGTATGCAGTAGGGGTATTCAAATCCCCCCCACCCCTAACAATTGTGAAAACATGTTTTTTAAGGTTTCCGGGAAATTTAAACACAAATTATTTCTTAAGAAAATGTTTTTTTCTTTTATTTTATTTAATGACACTTTAGGCCAAACTTATTGAGCGTGTAGTATATATGTTAGTCTTGGTTTCATTGTTAATTTATAATTGTTATTTCATCGTCTTTATTGATCAGAAACCATGGATTAATAATAATACAGAAAGAACACAAGATGTTGTCTTTTCAAGATTTAGGGGTTTATCGTTCACAAAAGTCCTGTAACTCCTTTGGACTTCTTGCCTCAGGGTTATTGTGAACGAAAACCCCCTAATTCTTAAAAAAACGATATCTAGTGTCCTTTCTGTGTTGTTTTTAATCTATGTCAGAAACCAATGAAGTGTATTTTTTGGAAAATTTGACGCATTAAATTTTTTGTTTGGTTTAATATGCAAATACATCATAATCTAAAGTTATATAATTGTTTTAATAAAAGTGACAAATTCGCGGACAGAAAAGTTCTGGTAACAAAAATATAAGTTTAATAATAACTTACATTATACTCTAATGCCGAAATTCACAAAAAGTCACAACAAGAAAAAATATCAAAATTAGTTTAGATTATAAACAGCAAAAAAGGCATGCCAAGAATACAGTCTTAAAGTTATATCTCTTAATCCGGTCCTATACTATCCTTGGTAAACAAACCGATTAACTTAATCCGGTCCTATACCATCCTTGGTAAACAAACCGATTAACTTAATCCGGTCCTATACCATCCTTGGTAAACAAACCGATTTACTTAATGCGGTCCTATACCATCCTTGGTAAACAAACCGATTAACTTAGTCCGGTCCTATACCATCCCTGCTAAACAAACCGATTAACTTGCAGCCGTTTCAACGGTTTTTTTTAATCCAAAATGAACAAACAAAAAAAAAACTTGGTTTTAAGAAGATTTTTAATATAAAAATGAAAATTTACATTTACACCAAAATACAAAAATTAAATATTCTCCTTTTAAAAAAAGAAAGAAATATTCATTCTTTGGTAAAAATTTTCCATATTTAAAGTTAACAATTTCTATAAAGTTTTTATACACAAAAAACGGCTGAAAAATAAAATTTATGTATTTGAAGTGTTTCTTCATAAAAAATAGAAGCTTTAAAAATGTTATCTAATGTTATTTTTATCGCAAAAAGTCATTCTTAAACACAATCAATTCTTTTTTATAAAAATATGAATATCACACTTAACTCGTGTAGATTTGAATTTTTGAATTTTTTATTTTTGAATTTAGAAATTAACAATAAAAAAAATCTTTGCAGGATAAAATAATAACAATATTTTTCTACTGCAAGCAGTTTACTTCTTCCAACATCCAAATGTAAACATCATATTCTTTAAAGAAGAAGAAATGCGGGAATTAATTAGAGATGGGCATCTTTTTAATGAACTAAACTTTTTGTGAACAACAGTGTTGTTCACAAAAATTAACGAAAAAATTAGATCTTCACATACAATAAAAACGATTGATTGTCCAAACAAATTCCAAACAATTCAAAATTGTTAACAGTCATGATGTTAATTATCCCAAGGGACAGTTAAGTAAATAAATATCCCGCATGAATCATAGATCTGTAATGAAGAACAAATGGTGGTGAATATAGACATATATATTTGGTTAAATATTAAATTCATAATTATCAAATTATCATATTCAGACTGTAAGGTATCACTAATCACATAAGTTTTGCATATTTCAACAAATAACTTTTTTATGTGTAAGTATGTGCTATAGTAAACTTTAATTTTAATTTTTCCGATATTTCTTTTTAAAAATCTCTTTTTCCAAATATGTTCTAATCTTATAAAACCATAAAGCCAGATAATCTGGATTGATAAAAAACCTTATAATTGAATAAGTCTTATTTAGATCAATTTTACAACTACCAGATTATTTGCTTTAAAAAAATTTGGTTTTCCTTCCTTTTTCTTTCTCCGTCTTTTCCCATCTTTTTTTCTCAATCTTTCTCAATTGTTCTCCATCTTTCTCCATCCTTCTCCATCATTCTCAATCTTTCTCAATCATTCTCAATCTTTCTCCATCTTTCTTCATCTTTCTCCATCTTTCTTAATCTTTCTGCATCTTTCTGCATCTTTCTCAATCTTAGTCAATCATTCTTAATCTTTCTTCATCTTTCTGCATCTTTCTCAATCTTAGTCAATCATTCTTAATCTTTCTGCATCTTTCTCCGTCTTTCTTCATTCTTCTCCATCTTTCTTCATCCTTCTCCATCTTTCTTCATCTTTCTCAATCTTTCTTCATCTTTCTCCATCTTTTTCCATTTTTCTTCATCTTTCTTCATCTTTCTCTATCTTTCTTCATCTTTCTCCATCTTTCTCCATCTTTCTCCATCTTTCTCAATCTTCCTTCATCTTTCTTCATCTTTCTCCATCTTTCTCCATCTTTCTTCATCATTCTCCATTTTTTTCCATCTTTCTTCATCTTTCTTTATCTTTCTCCATCTTTCTTCATCTTTCTCCATCTTTCTCCATCTTTCAACTTTCTTTTACATTTTTCTCCTTTTTTTAACTCCTTCTCTATTTGTCTCCTTCCTTTTATTTTTTTTCTCTTTCTTCGCCATGATTTTATTTCAATCCTTCTACTTTCTTCCCTTTCTTTCCCATTTTCCCACCCCCCCCTCCCCGTCCTTCAGCCTCAAAAGATAAAGAATAAGGATATTCTTATTATCCATTACTTTGTCTGCAGCATTAAATCGATCTATTGTATTTATATCTCTGAACCTATTTTTATAAAAATTGCGCAATTCATTCATTCATTCATATATAATTATTTATTATTAATAATTCCTTTGATAAAAATATCTATCAAACAAACTATACAACTAGCTAGAGAACTTAATCAATATCTACAAATCTTCAAATCAAATCTACAAATCTACAAATCTACAAATCAACATGTCTATATATCTACAATTTTGCAGACACTATCAATCTGCAAATCTATTTTTCTTTTTACAGATTTACACACATGTTTTACACGAAAATTGAACTATTTTTAACCGGCAGTATTTTAAAAAAGGAGAACAGCAGAATGTTAAAAATACACATTAATAAATATAAACGGGCCAACATTTTGTGTGTCAACTTATAATACCCCGGAGAAGGATTTTGGAACGTCAAAGTTGAAAAATGTTACTCGGAAAAAAATGTTGAGGTTTAATAGTATTAAAATACACCAGCTCTAACAGAAGAATCCGAGAAATATTGAGTTCTATAATGACAAAGATAAATGGCAACTGAACTAGAGCAACATAGCAACATAGCACCCGAGAAGTCTAGCTATAATGTAAAAAAATGTGTATTTTGCAAAATAATTTTTTCAACAAGTGCATTTTGATTTGTCGACGTTTTGTGACTGACAGTGTGTACCATGTAACCTAGACATTCTTCACAATAAAGATAAATTATTTTACAGAAAAGTTAAGTTAAAAATAAAAACTCAGGCCCAAATGTGATAAACAAATGAGATAATAAGAAGCGAAGGTCCATGAGTAGAGGGGGTGGGGATATAATGTTAGACATATTTTTTGATCCATTTTTCATTTTCAGGATTGTTTGCATTTAATTGGCGTCAAAAAAATATTTGCAAGTTTGTTTCAAAATTTTATATTCTCTACAACTTTGTTTTTAAATTTATAAAAATGGACCCCCATTGCTCGTTTAATCTCATTCTGGCATAAATCTTTTGCCAGAGTAAAAAATTTCAAGTAATAATTTTTAGAAAATACGATTTGTAACAATTGTCTATATCTTGAGGAAACTCTTAAAAGCAAAAAACTTATCGTACATATGAAGAAAAAAGTTTCACGCCACCCAAGCATATTCATTTTTACCATTTGGAAATTTTCATTAAGGGTTTTATTATTGGTTCACTCCATTGCTCTGACAAGTTCTTGAGAGGAACATTAAAAAGTTGGAACCAGTAAGTTTTGAAGTTAAAAAGTTTAAAGTGTTAAATATATCACATTATATAAATATATACATAGATAAATACTATAGAAATAGGAAGGAATCCTTATAAGGACTTACAAGGCAAATGCATTATGATAATAATAAAAATATTATAATAATAATATTAATAATAATAAAATTCACCTGAATTAAGATGTGCTGAACCGTCTGCCCGCCTAAAAAAATCATTATGCAAAAATGTTCACATTAAAAAATATATTTTATAATTAAACACCTTTTTTACACAAAAAAAAACATGCCTACAGGAGAGCAAGAGAGTATAGTTTCCTCCAACCTTATATTTGCAATCTAACGAATAATTTGATATTTCAAACTATACGATCAATTAATCAGGACATAGAAGATCAAAGTTTACTTCCGTCAGGTTGTCAAAATATAAGGAAACACAGATTAAAGTTTAAGGTTAGTTTTCACCTTTTTCCGGAAAACAAATTCACTTCTGCAAAAATTATTTACGCAAATTTTATTTTTAACTTTAACTTTAAAGAAGATAAAACTGTACTTATGCAATAAAATGAAGCACAGTTTGATTATGAAATTTATGATTATGCAATAATTATTGAGAGATATATATCTTGAAACAAAATTTTATTTGATAAAAAATAATTTCTGTATAAGTCATAGTTCTGATAATACAACCCAATCAATGTCAGGCAGTCATAAAAATTGTTTTTGTTAAATTTGAAGAAGAATAATTGAATTTATGTTTAAATGAGAGGAAGACGGGCGACGGCGTTTCAAATTTTTCTTAATCATTAAAATGATGCTTTTAAAAAAAAGGTTAAACTTAAAGTTTTTAAAATAAAATTATAAATCATTTAAACAATTTAAATATTTTAGATGTTTTAAACTAATTTCTTTCATTTTTAAAGATTTTGGTTTTGTGAGTGTAAGCTTTCCATTTTTAAATATATAGCGTCTTGACATCAACATCATGGATAGTCATTTTATATAAGAAAATTTAATTACACTGCCTGATTCACAACATTACCCTAAAAACCTTCAATCTGGTCACAAATGTGAAGGTTATTGTTGTTTTTCTGATCAAAACTAATTAATTCTGCATAATTCTTGCAGCGGAAATGCGCAAGTCACTTTGTAGAGAACATAACATTGAAAATAGTCATGGTTTTTAAGTTTCAACCATTGATATATAATTCATGCTTCAGCAGACGAAGCTTTTATGGGTAACGGCCATTGCCATCTTTGCATACAGGGTGACTTTAATTACGCTTACAGTTTCTTTAAATGGTATTAACTGTTATTCCCCAACACATGAAGAACATATTTTGAATGTTTACTAATTACCTGACCCAATCCTTAGGTGGAATAAATCCTTGAAACTCCTCCTCCATATCTCCTCACCACCAATCCTTCACCTCACTTGACTTTAAAAAATCTGAAAAAAAGTAAAGTAAAAATAATGCAATTACGTTCTTTATGCAAATGTTTAGAAAGACTCAATTCCTTGAAATTTGTTGAATAAACGTTTGATTATAATTTAAAGTTGTGTAGCAGTAATTTCGCTTAAATAAGACCTTTTCTTTATCAAAAAAGCGCGTATAAAATTTTTTGTTGTCTCGGAAGTCAAATAAAAAATGATTAATCAAATAGAAAATAGTCCTCGTGAAGAATAAAACAGTTTTAATTCGCCGCAATTTTAAGTGAACCTCCATTTTGGGGTATTTCCAATTCACAACAGACCCCTTGAAACCTTTATCTGATCAAAAATGTGGAAGATATGTGGTCGTTTTCTGGGCTTACAAAGTGTATAATTTTGACAATTCATCCATGGTTTTTCGGCTGCAGAAATGCGCGAGTCATTTTTAATAACAATTACCACAATTTAGAATTATCAGTATTAAAATTACATAATCGTGGATATCTCATTTAGCACTTAAGGTTAAACCGTTTAAAAGGGAAAGAACAGCGTGAGGCATAGATTTATAAGTTTTCGCCACAGATATTTTTTGGGATAAATAGTTTATGTTAATGTTAATATAGGTAATGAAGACTTTTAAACATCATCAATTTGATTAGTGTTTAATTCATTTTCTTTATTAAGAATTATTCTAAAAATAAATAAGAGTTTTAAAGAAATTCTAATTATGATCTTTTTTATTTGAAATTCAAAGGAGACGGTGATTGAAAAGATTCTATTTTCCATTTCACTCAACAATATGTTATTTAGTTTTTTTACTTTTGAAAATCTTAGAATGTTTGTTAACTCCTGCTAAAGTTGCACAGCTGTTGTTGATAAACGGATACAATATATCACTATCAAATAAGTTACATATTAAAATGTGTGAAATAAATGCGAAATCAAATTCTATGTCTTTGAGCGTGTTTGCAAAAACTCCGTCAAGTTTTCTTGATTACTCACCGAGGTATGAAAAATTTGCAAATATTTTTGCATTCTTTAAATAGTCATTCCTTTATAAAAAGCTGGTTTTTTGGTGTGCAACAATTTTCATTTAATCCCGCCGGGATATTTTCATTGAAAGATACTTTGAAAATCTACAAAGGCAAAAAAAAAATCCGCAAAATCCGCAAGCCCTCGGGTTTATCATTGAATCCCCTCTTTAAAAAGCAATGTCATTTACTCTCAGACAAATTAGAATCAATGGAAATTTAAACCCCCTCGGGATTCAATGATAAGCCCTCGGGTTTTCATTGAATTTTTCATTTATAATGCAGCAAAATCAATTGAAATATAAAAAAAGGAAACGAAAAAGAAATTTAAGCGATTCGAGGCTGAAGATTAAGATTTTCTATTTCTAGAAAAGAATTAAATGTAAATTAAATTATTTTTCCTAAAAACTTATGAAAGTATGAAAAAAATTATAAAAATTTACAATTTTTGAAGTGAAAACTTTCAAACACAGATATATATACTTATATACTTTATCTTTTCGCTTAACAAGTGTATAATGTACACAGAACTATTTTAAGTTTCTGGGTAAAATCTTTCTTTTTTTCTTCTAAACCATTTAAAGAAAATTTCTTTTCATTTTTTACGATTTTATAAAGGGGAACGTCCTATAAAACAAAGCAAATTGAGAGTTTTATTTCTAGTTTTAAAGGTGGATATAGACATTTGGCTTGAACCAATTTTTACCCATCAAATATTGATATATGTTCTTCCGATTTTTTAAAGTTTCTTGCTTCACATTTTCCATTTAAATATCAAAGTATGAAAAATACATTTTATGGTTTAAAAATGACATATCAAAATATAAGGAATTTGGGGTGTTAATAATAAAATCAACATGTATCTATTTAAAGAGGCTGTTTTCGTAATTTTAAGTGATCCTCTAATTTAAGGATTATGAAACACATTCGAATGTCGAAACTCTAGATTTTGGAATTTTCCCAAAATCCAAAAAACTAGACGAAATGATTCGTAGAAATCTTCAGTTTTAAAAAGGTGTTAACCTAATTATTATATTATGTATGCTCGTTTGTTAAATCGTATCATGAACCAAACAATTTTATTCTTAAGAAAGAGAAATATTAAGTTAATCATGCAATGGACAATGGTATATGCGTATGTAAAATTTGTGCTTTTGGCCATTTTTGGGCGGATAAACTCGCCGGTTTGGTCACACTGACCAAGATCAGAATGGCGGGATTCCAAAAAAGCACATTTTGACAGGGCTTACTTTTAAAATAATTCAAATATTTATTTTCATTCAGTCTTTTCAAACAAAAATTTTTTTGCGGGGATTACATTTTTAATTAGATTCAAATAAAAAAAAATCTTTTTTATCTTTCGGAATCTCTGTTTAAATTAAGCCTTTTTTATAATTTAAAGTTATGCCGGATAAAGGCTTATAAAACCTCCTCTAATGATACAAATCAAACCCCTATGTTTTGTTTTGTTTTATAAAAGTGTACTACAACTTCTGAGTCCAAAACTTAAGACAGGGTATCGTTATGAAAACCAGTTTTTAAATTCGGGTTTCACGAATGAGGTTAGGCAGTTTTGTGGATATCAATATTTGTGTGATAAACTATTATTTTATTTAGTTTCTTCATATTCTCAATCTTTTTTCGAATCTCTTAAATCAAAATCTACACAAATATTAAGGCCCCCCCAAAATCTACATCCTCCGAAACCTTATTAATATCCATACGTACTGTCTATCAACTGTTTCTCCTGTCACAAAGCATGAACTAATCTTGCAAGCAGACGTAATAAACACAATTTTGTTTACACATCTTTATGTACAAGACTCACTTTATTTACACTGTGTACCTCAAGACTTTAGAACATCATTGTACAGTGCACAATGTACAGAGTTATATTTGATATAATGTTATAGAATGTAGAATGTAGTTTCATTAAATATGCTTGTTCAGGTAGGTTTTATAGCGTACTAAGAGTAAGGTCTCTGAGAGTAGAGTAGTTAGGTTAGACTAGACTCTTACTTAGAGACCGAGAGAGAGAGAGATAGACCGAGAGAGAGAGAGATAGACCGAGAGAGAGAGAGATAGACGGAGTGAAGAGTTGAAAAAGCACAGTCAAATGCTGCAGAAACAGGATAGTCAGTCGGACCAAGATAAGTATAGACCTTTCCTGTTTGTCCGTTTGTGTCCGATAAACGTCAAAACGGCTCAACCGATCGGACCCAAATTTTGTATTGGACCTCACGTGACCCCAGGGAAAGTTTATGAATTAAAATTAAAATTAAAAAATATGTGGTTACAAGTTTTTTATTTTGTAAAAATTTTGAAATCTTGAAAATCCGCGAAATTCTTTCTTCTTTGTTTTACAATGTTTACAATGAGACCACGTTCACAATTTAAATATTTAAAGATGGGTGCGAAGCGCCCTAAAAGCTTAGTATGCATATATTTATATAAGCTAGTGCTTTAAGCAAGTGTATGTAAGTTAGTGAGGTAAAAGACCAAAGCTTGCGAAACTTTATTTTTATAGCTGTCTGGATATCTGTGAAGACCGGATTGGTTTGTAGTAAAATAAAGGATGGATGCATGAAAACCCCTGTCTTTTTAGTTTTAGGTTCTTAAACCAATAATAATTGAACTAAATTAGTCTTTAAATTAATAATTAAACATTCCTTGATAAATTCTGATTTCACATGTCACGAGCCATTTATAATGTTGTACTTCATGATACCCTGCTGCCAGCTTAAGTTTTCATATTCTTACAAGAACCATTAATAAACTTTACACACGTTTTTTTTAGCTGAGAGCAATGAATTTTAATTAATTCTTGATTCTTGAATATCCGTCAGGTCGGCTATATAGAATAAGAAAAGAACTACCCATGTGAACAAAAAAGACGAAGAAAATGCAAATTAAATGAACAGAAGTGATCATTTTAAAACGATGCTGTAAGGTTCCAACTGCATTATTTACTATCACTTAAACATTCAAAAATGTAAAAAAAAGGTTTCTTGGAATACAAAAAAATATTTCAATTTTATCAAAATTGAGAGATCAAGTTGAGAATGTTTTAAAGATCCCAAAACTTCTTGAAAAAAATGCTTGCAATAAACCACAAACTAATGGAATATGATAAAAATTGATTTTATAGTAAAAATTAAATGTTGATTATTATTCACGAAATAGTATTAAATGATTTGAGTTGGTATCTTATCCTTCGTCAAGTCGTTTTTAAGTATAATGAAGAATTGTTGTCATCATTTTTGATGAACCGGATGTACTATAGTTGAGATTACTTTTGTGATAAATTGCAAATTCTTTTTTGATTTTGCTAGCAGCTGGGATATTAAGAAAATAGCGCTTTGACCGGCTCACAAGTGCACATGTTTCAGCAGAATTTATCATGGAATGTTTCATATTCTTCCTTAGTCCATGAACTATTTTTATTTTACAGATTTTGTGTTTAGATTTCTGTAGTAGGCCAAACAAGTAATAAGACAGGGTTTTCGTGTCCACCCTTTAACTTACCAATAAAAAGTATTTGTTAATTACTTTCAAATTATACAATTAAATATATGTTATCTATATGTATGCTAACAGAAAGATAAGATTAATTTCGAATGTGTTTTACAATACATTTTTGCAAAACAATTTCAATCAATTTCTCAAAGTTTTCAACTCGAAAATTTAATTTTAAAATGTTATATAATTCCTAAAATAATAATAATTATACGTTTTTGTAACACAGACTAAAAATATGTAGGTATTAATATAAAACATTCTTTGGAGAAATTTGATGTTAGCTTACGATCTGGGGGGAGGGGAGGGGGGGATTTCAGATATTAAGAGTTAAAGGTCTGATCAATGCGCCGGAAACAAGTAGGAGAACGTTAAACTCTCTTTTTATCTTATTTCTTACTAAACTTTGCATCCAAGGAATCCATTTTTTTCTCCATTTTTTGGATTTGTGCTTGTTCTCTCCTTCTCCTTATGAAGTATTTATAATTTATTTTTTGCTGGCAGCAGGATATCTGTTAAATATACTTTGCTTGTCTGTCTCGTGTCTATTTGACGGTTTGTTTGTTTGTAGCCGATAACCATTAAAACGGCAGAACCGAACAAATTTTGTGTAGGACCTCACATGACCCCCGGGAAAGTTTAAGGAACATCAAATTTGGAATAGAAATTCCTGGCAAATTTTTTAAATGCGCCAATTCGAAAAGAAAAATTCGCCAAATTTTGAAAATGATTTTTAAATGGCCAACTTCCAATTTCCAAAGCAACAGTTTTTAAAGGAATAAGACCACGAAGCGCCCTAAAAACTAGTTTTAAATATAACAATTAACTTTTACTGCACACATCAAACATCAGAATTCATCAAAGAATGTTTCACTCTCTTCTTTGTAAAATGCACTAAGTGTTTTGCCCAATTCTATCCGATAATATTTTCTTTGTGTAAAAACACAAGTAGGAAAGATGCTTTTATGAGTAACCTCCATGTAACTATGGTAATCTTATTAATATTATTCTCCTGCTATGAATTATTATATGTCATGTAAAACTTAATAATATATATATGTAGTAATATATATTTGCAAATAGTTAGCATAAACTCAAGGAGAAGATAAGTAAAATATTGAGGTATAGTTAAGTATATGTTTAAATTGCAAGATAAGAAATTAATTATTAAAAATTTAAAAAAAAACTTTAAATACTAGATTCTTGCTTTCGGGATAAAGCAAATGACTTTTCAAATAGATCATGAATATTTTGATGCAAAATTATATCAGCTATTTCAAAAAAAAGAAAATTCTTTAACATTTTGTTTTCCGCTTTGAAACTTTCAAATCCAGTGATACACAAAGTATAATTGGGTTTAAAAAGTCGAAACCAAGCACAACACCTCACAGGGGTGGTCCGGTCATAATATTTGATGTATAATTTAACAAATTCAAGATTTTTATGCTTCACTGAAAAAGAAATTAATGCAGCCTTAAATGGACTGTATAAACGTAATTTCAAGTGACCCTACTTGCAATTTGCAATCATGGCAATGCCCGATTTACAACGGTACTCTTGAAACTTTAATCTGATCAAAATGTTGAAAATGCCCTCGTTTTTCTATTTCAAAAAGTGTTTATTTCTGTGAGTTTCTCCATTGCCTCTTATAAAAAAGAAATGCGCAAGTCACTTTTGCAGAGAAACCGCAAAATAAATAAACAGCTGGTTTAGATAAACAAAACAATGATATATAATTTATACTTAATCATATCGTTGTAAATTGGGCATTGTCATTTTGCATGAAGGGTCACTTGAAATCACGTATACAGTCTCTTTAAGCAATTTTGTCATGTAAACTTTAATGTTATAATCTTAATTTTCTTCCTGTTTGTTGTTTATAATCTTAATTTTTTTTCAGTTGTTTTAAATTTCAATACAATGTTTTAAGGCGCAATTATAGATCTTTTATTAATCTTATATCAACACAATATTAAAACAAATTTAGTTTATAATATAGTTTGAAAATCACATATGAAGAAGTTTAAGCACTAAAATAGAATATATTTACATACGTTTAACACGAAGCAAAAATATCAGATTAAATATTGCAAAAATTGTAAAGGAAAAATCAACGAAAAAAGTATAACTCATTTTGTTTAATTTTCAATTGGAAAGACCACATCCTTAAAATTTTACTTGTATAAACAGAGTACCCCAAAAAGGTTTATGACATCAATTTTTGGAATTTGGAACAAACCAAAGACGACATCTTCTGCAATTAAAGATGTTGTTGTCATTAAACGGTTAATATTCTTTTATTCTCTATATAGTCTGATGCCGAAAAGTTTGAAAAAATCCGCAAAATTAATGGAGTTTTGTAACAATTTTAAATTTTCTTATCCCTTTATCTTTCCCAGCTGATGGTGGAAGCCTTTGATATCAAAATCTTAGATTATTTCATCAAACAAGATTCCCATTTTGAAATATCTGAGGTTTTAGAATTTGGGCTGTAAAGATAGAGGGATTAGATTATTTGAGTTTGTTGCAAAGACTCAATTTTTTTATCAACGAAAAATGGTTTTATGAAATGAACATTTGAAGGTGATATATTACAGCTTTTAATAAGTTTGACAAAAAAATTAAAAGTCTCTTTTTTAGTGCCCTGTGAATAGGATTTCCAGCAAACGAAACGTTTCGCGAAAAAATGCAAAAATTTTCGTTCGAATTTTGCAAACTTTTTCGTAAAAAAATTTCGTGAAAATTAATGAAGCAAAAAATGCGAAAAAAAAAAACAAAAATAATTGCGCAATTTTTTTGCATTTTTAACGAGCGAACGAATTGCGAAAAAAGGAAAAAATTTGCGCAGAAATATGAAATTTTCGCGAAACAATTTTCCTTTTGTGGCTGGAAACCCTACGTGTGAACTGTGATAGGTTACCGGCCCGGTGTTCTCCTAAACTAACTTTTTTCTAAACTATCAGAACCCCAATATTAGTGGTCTAATTTAACCAAAACAAAATAAATTCTCTCCAAATTAACTTTTTCTCAAATTTATTGATTTTTAACGATGTTAAAATAATTTATAAATGAAGACTCATTAAAGCATTATATATACATTAGGCTATTGTGAGGAGAAAATCTTTTTACAATTCTAAAATTGAGCTTCGTCAGATCAGATCTGGTAGACATATATTTACAGATGTGCAATGTGCTTTAAAAACTAAGATCAAAAATGTGTCTGTGAACATATTTTAAGAATTAATTACTCAAAATTTTTGGGTTTTTATCATTATTTCCAGGTTTGATAAAAGAGGTTTAAAGCACACAAATCCAGATACAGTGGTCATCAAAATAATGTGTAATGCAACAACAAGTTTCATGCCAATGTTTTCTGGACAACGTTTAAAGATTTTATATGGTCTTAGTGAGATGCAATCATTCCACTTTATTTTGACGATCACTATTAAAAGCATCCTTCTTATTAATACATATAGCATAAAAATATGTACTGCGGATACTTATATGAAGAGCTAGTTGTACATAAAATGATTGTTCAAAGATTTACAAATTGATAAATTTAGCTAATCTCTATTAATATATAGCTTTTGTATAAATATTATATATAATACGGCGATAGGCGATTATTTGAATATAATGAAGACGACTTTTGATTTTAATTTTGATTTATATCAAGCTTTAAAACAGCATTGGTAAACAAAAAAACATGGAAGCAGAGAGAAGCTGTCAATTAAAATAGCTTCTCTTTAATTCCTTGTAAACTTGTAATTCGAAAAAAAACTTTCTTAAAAAAGTGGTCTTCATTGTATTGGAATAATCGCCTACCACCGTATATATCTAAGAATTTCTGAAAACGGAGTTAGAATTTTATAGAATTTTATAGAATTTTATAGAATTTTTTAGAATTTATAGAATTTTTTTACGATTATTTGTTATGGAAAGATTTATATTTATAATTTCAGTGTTATTCAGCATTAGTTGAATACTTTTGTGCTCCAACATTTAAAATTTTTGTAATAAAACCGTTCTTATGTTTTTAAAATTTTTTAAATGAAACGTTATGACTCCTTGATTACAACATTTTAAAGAGCTATGAACTATAGTAAAAAAAAACATCCTGCAGGCTGCAGTAGCAAACTGACTAATTTTAGAAGATATTTCGATTGTGAGATTTTAAAGATTGTAAAATATGCTTAAATAAAGCAACAACAAAAATTAAAGTTATGATTATCATAAATTATTTAAAATGATTGTGTCTGATCTATATAATGCTAATCAGAGATAAATAAATATAGAGCCTTTGCCAAAAACAATTCCTTTATCTTTTAATAATAAAATCTTGTAAGACCTAAGATATTTCAAACTCTGTTTTCTGTTGGATCACATAATTTTAGCTAAAACTATAAGAGGTTTACACCTCAGGCTGCAAAGATTTAAGGATTAGAAATTTGAGTTTAAAGGGAAAAAAAACTTAATTCCTTCGTTAAGATACGTTAGAATTGTGTGCACAGGTTAGAAAACTTCAAATATTTTTTTCAACAGAAATTCGCAAAACCTAACATATGTTGATCAGTTTTGTCAAACAGTGCATTATAACCTCAGCAGTACATACGGTGTACTGTTTATTTAATGTGCTGACTACTAATCACTCGAGCAGTGTTAAACAGGTGTTGATGCATTAAACCTGAATTAAACAATTCATATTTTATTTATGTAGAGAATTCGCCTTGTTCACGGGCAGCCGTAGTATATGTGAATTCGCCTTTTAAGCAATAATATCTTAATGTGACTATAACGACCTTAGCTGCTGGTTTTAGAAGTTTTTACAAAGCACTTTTTTACCCTTTTTCAAGTCGGACGCGAGACAAATATTGGATGATATATTCTTCTTTTAATAAACACACATGCTGTACACAGCATATTTTATGCTGAACAGCAGACACTGTTTAATATTTCTGTTTAAAAACAGTTCACTTCAAGTTAAAAACTTCTTTCTCATTTTTTTTTGATTTTACTGTTCTCAACTTCTGAGTTTACTTTAGTTATTCCCTCCATTAAAATCATCTATCTCAGACCTAAAATAAAGAAACGAATTAGCTATTTAAAGCTAATTTTTTTGGTAAGCATTGCTATGAAGTTTCACTACTAAACAGCACCGTGCTGTAATAAAGTGAACTACTAAACAGCACCGTGCTGTAATAAAGTGCACTACTAAACAGCAGCGTGCTGTAATAAAGTGCACTACTAAACAGCACCATGCTGTAATAAAGTTCACTACTAAACAGCACCGTGCTGTAATAAAGTGCACTACTAAACAGCAGCGTGCTGTAATAAAATGCACTACTAAACAGCACCATGCTGTAATAAAGTGCACTACTAAACAGCACCGTGCTGTAATAAAGTGCACTACTAAACAGCAGCGTGCTGTAATAAAGTGCACTACTGAACAGCACCGTGCTGTAATAAAGTTCACTACTAAACAGCAGCGTGCTGTAATAAAGTGTACTACTCAACAGCAGCGTGCTGTAATAAAGTGCACTACTAAACAGCAGCGTGCTGTAATAAAGTGCACTATTAAACAGCACCGTGCTGTAATAAAGTTCACTACTAAACAGCACCTTGCTGTAATAAAGTGCACTACTAAACAGCACTGTTCTGTAATAAAGTTCACTACTAAACAGCACCTTATAAAGTGCACTACTAAACAGCACCGTGCTGTAATAAAATGCACTACTAAACAGCACCGTGCTGTATAATAAAGTGCTCTATAGTTTTATAAAATTCCATAAAGGTACTGTTAGTCTAATATGCAGTGACCCTGTGTGCATAGATGGCAATGCATGATTCACAAGAGTATCCTTGAAATATATTTGAACTAGTATCTGGAAAATATTGCCATTTTTTAGGTTTAAAAATGTTTAATTCTAATTATTCTTTTACGTTTTCATACAGTAGAATTGTGCAAATCGCTTTTGCAGAGAAACCCCAATTGAAAATAATCAATTTTAAAATTAAAAATATTATTAATTAATTCATAACTGATCAGACGAAGCTTTAAGGGATACCGTAGTGAATCGAGCAGTGCCATCTTCACATGCAAAGTTTGAAATTATGCATACAGTCTCTTTAAAATGATAAAAGACAAAACTTACTCATCGTCTGGATCTCTGAAATCAGTTTGCTCCTCGTATTTTCTACACCTGGCCTGACAGTACGGACAATACCTAGACAAATGGAAAATTTTCCATTAAAGAGCTCAACTTTTTTCTCCATTCTTTTTTTTTGTGTAATTGAAAAAGAATAAAGATGAGATATTCTTTTTAAAAAAATATCAATTTTAAAACACATTTTTAACAATCTTGTATTTATACGTATTCATTTTTGAATTTTTCTTATTAAAAAGATTAGTCTCACAAAGTTAGAATATTTGGAAAAAAAGTTGATTAAAAAATAAACAATTCCTCTTTTTCATAAAAGCTAAAAGCATTCATTTCAAACATACGAAATGTTTACCTTAATTAAAACTAAATAAAATTCTCAAAATCAAAGAACTTTAAAATTCAAAATGATTTCCTGAAAAAAATATAAAAAATTCCAAAAATATATATCAATTCCGCCATCACCAATTTACCACTACCCATAATTACTAACTGTAAACATATTCTGGTCTAGAAGAGCTCTGACAGAAGCGATTTAATGATAATTTTTTATACCTGGAATTAAAGGAGTCATTATTATTATTATTATATTTATTTCTAGCTGCCCGGCGTTGCCCGTAAATTTTCAAAAAATCAAAAAAAAAATTGAAATAAAAAAAAAACGAATTTGAAAAAAGAAAACCAAATTTTTGTTTAGCCTATGTCACCCCTAGTACCCAATCCCATTGGGTTCCTAAAAAAATGCAGCCCATTTTCTATAGTTAATTAGTATTGGTTATTGCTGTACACTGTGTTCCATGTTTGACATTCATCAGCAGCATGATTGCGGATTTTCAAAAATACAATTGCGCATTTTACCAAAATTAAATGGGTTTAATATATATCTATATATAAATTTGGCTTGTCTGTCTGTTTGTTTGTTTGCATCCAATAAACGTCAAAACGGCTGAACCGATTGGGCCCAAAATTTTGGTGGGACATCACGTGACCACAGGGAAGGTTTATGAATGATAAAATTAAAAAAATGTGTTTTAAAGGTTTTTCATTTTGTAAAAAAAATTTAAATTCTTGAAAATCCGCGAATTTTTTTTTAAAAAATCCGCAAAATTTGTCTTCTTCTTTGTTTTAAAATGTAAACAAAAAGAACATGTTCACAATTTAAATAGAAGATGGGCGCGATATTATTATTATCATTATTATTATTACCAGTAAACAAGAACTACAAGAGAGAGAACGAAGAGAAGGTTAGGTATAAGGATGGAGAACATAATACTGCTTACAGTCTCATCCCTAAATTAGAAAACACTCCTTTTTAAATTTTTGCCCTGTAAATTTCCATTTTTACTTTCTATCTGCACGTCTGCAAATTTTGTTCCACCGAGTAGTTAGAAAAGGAACAGGAAGCAAAGTCCAAACTGTAAAAATTGTTTGCAGAGAACACCGTAAGTGAAAATCTTTTGCCACCCTCCCCCTCTCCCCCGCTTTTTCTTCTAAATAATCTTATAATATTCTTCTTGTTTAACCTGCTGTACTCTGAGAGGACTATCCAGGGATTCATTTTTGAATAGTAGCAAGGGAAGGTCTCCTCTGTCTGAAAATGAAGAAGACGACTTTTATATCTCTAATTTTCAATATACCATCATGCATAAAACGATGCAATGCATTTAAAAAAAGTATCTTAAGAAATGAAATGGCATTTATCTTGATTTATCAACAAAATTAAAATTTTCCTCAATTGTTACGTTTTTTAATGTAACGCAGTTTATCCAAAACTTTGAAAATGAAAAAGACGACTTTTAAAATCTCTAATTTTCAATGTAAATAGGCTAAAAGCATGAAAAGTTACATTTTTTATGTACGTTGTCTCAAAAAACGTTTTCGATATGACACTGGTACCATTGAAAACGTTTTGGAAAGTTTGAATAACGTATAAAATTTTCTTATTGAATAATAATTGTCATTCTAAAAGATTGATAACGATTTGAATTAAACTATCTAGATTTTCTGAATCGTTGATTAACTACATAGTTAATGAGTTAAATGATTAATTGGCTAATCAATTGATTTTATTGATTGATTGATTACTTTACCATCGAATAGTTGTCATATCTTTCAGCATACATATCGCAATCTACTTCTGGAGGGTATCCACACCCCTGAATTCATAATAATAGTTTATAGTAAATTATATTTAACAACTTAAAATGTAAACTGCAAAAATCTAAATCCAGTCAAAGGTAATTTTTTGAGCGATTCTTATAGCTGATCTGGATAAATCCTTTTATTGGGAATGTATTCGTAATCTTGGCATGTTATCCTTATTTCTATCTGATGATTTGTACATAAAACTAGTTTGGAATTGTTTTAAAAGTGTAAGATGTATAAAAAAACTAAATTAACCTTAATATTGATGAGAAGGGGTGTATCTTCTACGATCACTTCTGATCCAGTCAGTTCCCCAGTATCCGGGTTTCTCTGAAAAAAAATAGGATTTCAAGTGATCAATTAACTTATTAGGTGGTTATTTAGCTTATTCAGCTGCTTCAACAATTGAATAAGTCAGCTGACTAAGCAGCTAACAAGTAAGTTGCTTAAGTAGGTTATAAGTTAGCTAAATAAGCAGCTAATAAGTCTCTGACTAAGCAGCATTGTAAGCCAGCTGACTAAGCATCCATCTAATAAGTCTCTTATTAAGCAGTATTGTAAGCCAGCTGACTAAGCATCTAATAAGTCTCTGATTAAGCAGAATTGTAAATCAGCTGACTAAGCATCTAATAAGTCTCTAATTAGGCAGTATTGTAAGCCAGCTAACTAAGCATTTAATAAGTCTCTATAATTAAGCAGTATTGTAAGTCAGCTGACTAAGCAGATAATAAGTCTCTGATTAAGTAGTATTGTAAGCCAGCTGACTAAGCATCTAAAAAGTCTCTAATTAAGCAGTATTGTAAGCCAGCTGACAAAGCATCTACTAAGTCTCTGATTAAGCAGAATTGTAAGCCAGCTGACTAAGCATCTAATAAGCTCTGATTAACCAGTATTGTAAGCATTCAGCTGATTAAGTTGACTTATGACTTTAAAAATCAGCTGACTAACACCTAAAAATCAGCTGACTATACAGCTTATAATTCAGATTAGTAAAAACTTAAAAATTCAGCTGACTAAACAGCTTATAAGTCAGCTGACTAATCACTTAAAAAATCAGCTGACTAAACACCCAAAATATCATTTGAAAAACCAACTAAACAATCAGCTGAATAAACAGCTAGTAAGTCAGCTCAATAATCAACTAATAAGTCCGCTGCCAAAAAAGATAAGAAATCTAAGAAGATAATAAGCTAAAGCCTAATAAGCATCTAATAAGTTAACATGATATTATTTCACATCTTAACATTTAAAAAAAAATAAGTTTTACTTACAGGTCTCTCTATTCTTGTAAGATCAGCCCAGTGCTCTATCCCAATATCAGAGACAAAAGTTCCATTCTCGTACGGTACATGTGGTGTGTACTTTACCCTGTGTAAATAAAATTGTACGGTACATGTGGTGTGTACTTTACCCTGTGTAAATGAAATTGTTATTTTCTAAAGAAATCATAATAATGGGTAGAAAATTATCCCAGTCTAGAAGCTTTTGAAAATATAAAGTGTCATTTTTATAATAGATTTTTTTCGGGATCTAATCGATCCTTTTAAAGGGACTGTAAACGATATTTTAAGTGACCTTCCATGAAAAAAGGCAATGCCCGATTCACGATGGAACCCTTAAAACTTTAATCTGTGTAATAATGTGAAATATTTATTGCAATTTTACTATGTTTAAAAGTGTTTGATTTTGATATTTTTTTTATAATGATTTTGAAATTATGGCTGTAGTCCCGTTAAATCTGTTTTATATTGGAATTGAGTTTTGCCACAAACTCTGATTTTCTGACCCATATATCTTTGCAACCAAATGTTATAGACCTTAGATATTTCAAACTACGAATTCTGATAGATTTTTATTCTAAGTTTGAAATATCAAAGATGCATCATGTGGCAAAGATAAAAATTTGAGTTTGGGGCTAAGATTCTATTACGTTGTTAAATAATGATGCGTGAATTCTAACCTGATTTGATGACATTTGTAAATAGAAGCTGTACAACCTTCACGGCAGCTCGCCCAGCTACAGTTGGTTCGCCCGTATCTCAGCTCATAACTTGTCACCTAGCAAATACAGGATTATTCTATATAATATTCTGTATGGTTTAGCTGGGAATATTAAAAACTATTTTGAGATTTGAGCCGGTTCTCAATTGGAACCGCGGTTATTGGCGGTTCAATTTCTTTAAATTCGGCCTCAGATTAGTCATTTTGTATATTTCAACCATATGGAAAAAAAGCTAAACCAACTGCTTTATATTTTTATTTTTGACTTTAAATATTTTTTAGTTAATTTGTTTTGAATTTGATTATTTCCCTTGTCGCTTGCGCAACTGTCTAAGACTGCCGCGCACCACCCACATTTTTCAAAATCTGTTTTCTAAAAAAATGTGGCGAAAGATAATCGATTACTATAGGTTGTAATATCTGAATGATTTGTTTGAAATTAAATTGATTTTTTTTACAGTCTAAGTCGTATGTTGCATCTTTTTCAATTTGTATGGGCGCTAAGTTATTCGGTATGAGACATTTTTAACAATTTTCTCCTTATAGACGCAACAGATAGAAGTAAGATTAGTAGCGATTAAAAGCGCTTTTTATCGCATTAAGCCTATACCCCCATTCATTTTTCACGAACACTCCCTTTAAGTCGATTTGCACCCCTCCGTTTTATTTCCTATGATTATTAATTCTTTCCCGGGTGGACTTTTCTTGGTCTAATATAGGGGGGGGGGGTGAAACTTCGATGGAGAAACCGCTTTGGATAATATTAATCTTAAGAGAGAAAACAAGGATATTTCAATCATGCTCCGACAATGAGTATCGTTGTGAATTTGACAACTAAACTTTAAGCAGGAAATTACATGAAATTACTACATAAACAAGCGCAGAGGTTCCTTAATAATCAAATTTTTGTCAAAACAGGCCAAATGACCAAATAAGAAAGAAACTAAGAACCATTTTTAAAAGTTATTTTGAAGCTAAAACTTTTTCTAACAAACTGATTTAAAAGCTCTTTATAGTTGTTTCAAGTTCAAGATCAGGTTTAGACAACACACAACTTTTTACCCTTCTCTATGTTTTTCAAAACAAAACAAAAAATTACACAAATTAGCAAAAAAAAAATAACTTTAAAGGGAGTGACCGGCTATGTAAGATAGTTGAACTGAGTATGCATGGTGTTGTGGAAATCTTCTTTCGGATTCATTTGAGACATATTAAACTTTTTAAAGATCTAATTCTGAAAACGTCTCCACCCCAAAGTAGGAGTTTTGAACGTCGAATTTGCGCTAAAAATCAGGATTTACGGATCTTAAAAAAGTTTAATATGTCTCAAATGAATCCGAAAGAAGTTTTCCACAACACTGCATACTCAGGTCAACTATCTTACATAGCCGGTAACTCCCTTTAAAAGTTGGCTTGAAATGGAACAATCTTGAAATCAAAATCAAAAAAAAGTTTTTAAATCTCTGTTCATTTTTTTGGCAACTAAATAAACATGGAAAATTTTCCCGACCCCTTGTTGCCCTTACAGGGATTTTGCAATGTTTGCACATATCTTTGCAGATATTTTTCAGATATTTTGCACATATTTTGCAGATATTTTGCAGATATTTTTCAGATATTTTGAAGATATTTTGCAGATATTTTGCAGATATTTTTCAGATATTTTGCAGATATTTTGCAGATATTTTGCAGACATTTTGCACATATTTTGCACATATTTTGCACATATTTTGCACATATTTTGCACATATTTTGCAGATATTTTTCAGATATTTTGCAGATATTTTGCACATATTTTGCAGATATTTTGCAGATATTTTGCAGATATTTTGCAGATATTTTGCAGATATTTTGCAGATATTTGCAGATATTTTGCAGATATTTTTCAGATATTTTGCACATATTTTGCACATATTTTGCACATATTTTGCACATATTTTGCACATATTTTGCACATATTTTGCAGATATTTTGCACATATTTTGCACATATTTTGCACATATTTTGCACATATTTGCACATGTTTTGAAGATATTTGCAGATATTTTGCAGATATTTTGCAGATATTTTGCAGTTATTTTACACATATTTTTGCAGATATTTTGCATATGTTTTGCAGATATTTTGCACACTTCCTTTTTTATGAAATATAAAATTTGTTTTACTTTGTGACACATTTTTATTTTATTTTACAAATGTTTTACTTTGAATATTTTTGTAAAAAAAAATGTTTTCGATAAATAATTATAATTATAATTATTGTTTTAGGTGAACAAATAGATATAGTCAAGTTTAGCGTTACTCAGTTTATTTTATTTATTTTTCCTTAAGAGCTTCTGTTACCTTACAATGTACTGGACTCTGAACAAAATCATGCATCAGCGTTGAGATCGCTGGATCTAGAACAAACGGAACCAAGAAGAGGAAACCAAACACACACACGATACACAGGGTTCCCAGGAACAACGAGGTGTAGTACTTGATGTCCTCCAGCCGGCTCTTGGCCTCCTTGCTGTCTGCCCCCATGGTGTTGTCAGCCTCTGTCATAGCTAAGGATAGAGGATGGATCAGGGTGGCGGGGGGAGGTTGGGTTCCCTGGGGGGTTAAACCAGGGATATCCAACCTCCCCCCGGCATATAATCAATGGATGTTTGTGGTAAAGGGAGTTCCTTCTTTTAATTAAACGTTAAAATCTTCTTTTTAAGATCAGCGGAAAAATATATAAAAATATGANCCCCCCGGATCACAAGTCAAAACTTTTTAATAGACGTACTGATTTAAACTGATTACTTTTAACAGTGTTATGAATGGCTCCAAATCTACCCTATAGGCCCATATGCCTTGAAGAACCCTATGATAATGAAAAATATCTTTAATAAACACTTAATATCACAAATGTATTTTTTGACAAGTGTGAATACTGGTGTTTCATGGCTATTATAAGTATTTAAGCAAACTGCCAGATGCAATTATGACCAATTTAATTATATCAAACAATTTTGAACAGTTTATGTACGATTGATTTCACAAAATTAAAATTATAATTATTCGTTTAAATTTTTTTTTTAATGGAAATAGTGTTTAACTCCCTTTGTTTTATTTATATTCGTAAAGCCCATTCAAAACTTTCTACCGCTGATCTTTGTCTAGTTTGATAAAAATCTGTGATTATAATTTTTCCAAGTTTTAGAACGTAAAAACACATTAATTTGAAGAACATTAAATAAGCATTAATCTGAAAACACGATCTTGTAAAATATACACCCTAGATCATAAATGGCGGACAAAACAACATCACAAGTAATGAGTTTGTTTGCATATTTTGATAAATTGGAAGGTATTTATATTATTGACAAAGTATATGTAGTATATCTGTTTCAGGTTTCCCGGATATAAGACCCAAAAAATGCAAAACTTATTTTAGACATTTTTGGATCAAATCCGCTCAGTCCATTTTCTCTAGTTTCCCGTATAATTAGACTATTTTTTCCCTCAACGCTCAAATTTTGAAACTATTAATAATTTTAAACCTTTTCTGAAAACTGAGCTATACGGATCTGGATATCTGAAAAGCCATTGGAAAATATACGTAAAAGCTCATATGCAAATATTTTACAAAAAAAGATGATTTTTCAAATTTTACAGACGAAACCTCACTAGATCATTGAACCCTATAGATTATCGAGACATTACATTTTTTTACTATTTTTGATCTTATCTTGCAAACCCTTTTGTAGAAATAATCTGAGATGGGAACTGTTTTGTTTTGTGGATCAATGCTTTATCCAGATCTTTTGTTAATCTGCAGATTAACTAAATCTTTATTTGATATCCCGCACGCTGATAGTTGAATCGGGTTAAAGGGACCTTTGATCAGGGGATGAATAAATGAAATGAAGAAATTAAGTATTCATCCTCAAATCAAAAGTGTTCACAGTGGATATATCGAATTTCCTTTTTCCGCAGGGGTTTGGTATAACCATTAACAATTCCTACCTCCAACATTATCTAAATATCTAAACACTTTTAAGATCATGAATTTGTTCAATGATCCTGGAATAAAAATTATGGTTAACAAAGGAATTGAGTTTTTGCCACAAACTCAAATTTTCAACCTCTATATCTTGACCACCTAATAGCGTAATCCTTTGATATTTCAAACTTAGACTAGTTGATTTAACAGAATTCCTGGTTTGAAATATCTAAGGTCTACGCCATTTGGTTGAGAAGATATAAAAATTAGAAAATAAGATTTTGTTGCAAAGATTAATTTCCTTTCTACTCAAATTAAGTGAATGATGTAAAGTGTACGGCTACACTAAAGTGTTCACTATAAACGTGATTAAGTGACAAAACATGTTAAACGTCGTCGTTAAAGGAGGAATAACAGAAAGTTTCAATATTACACGAAACAAAATCTTTTGGAGGAAATAAAACTTTTTTCAAAAATCCTTTTTTGCAGAAAAAAATATATATCAATCAAAACAAAGTACAAAAAAAAAGAGTAAAAACATAAAGCAGAAAGCCAGAAAGTTTGAAAAAAAATAAAAACGGTTTAAAAAGAACAGCTGATGATGATTATGTAAAAAATTGAATTCGATGAATTCTACGGTCTTAGGAATTAAGAAATGCAAATATTATCATCTGTTCTCGATATTTTGCATCAACAAAAGGTTTTTGTTTCTGTCAAGATTATTTTATATTCAAAATAAAATCACGTTTTTTTGCATTTCTTGAAAGAATTGGGTTGAGGCTGTTTAAACTTGTGCAGCACCTACTCCAATATAAGGTCTTTTTGATTTATCAAATTGTACAAAAATCCGACCAATGTTTATTGGTTACACTTGAACAAATATTAGCTAATTCACATTGAGAAATAAATCTTAGATGTACATCCAACAGGAACAATTCAGTAAGTAATGTAGCTCTTTGCACATAGAGAAATATATGCAAAAAGCTCAGCTGCTGGGTTTCTACTTTTTTTTAGAAAACCATCCCATAATTGTAAAAATTTTGGCCTTTTCAGGCTAAAAATAGGAAAAATTATTTTTATCTTTACCTCTCATTCAAAACCTCTTCAGATTGAAATGGTGATTTTGTTTATTTTGATTTCAAGATAATTTGCAAACGTTTTAAAAGTTCTAGGACTGAACTGACCAAATGAGAAGCTGAAATGTGCTTTTTAAACACATATTTCTGCATGAGGACAAAGCTATATAAACTACAAACCAAGCCAATTTTTGCTTTTGCATTTATTTTTCTTGGATGTACGCATTAGATTTATTTCTCACTGTGAATTAACCAATATTTGATCAGGGAATAACATGCTATGATCAGTTTGATCAATTTGATAAATCCTGTAAACCTGATACTTGACTGGACGCTGGCAAATTGCCCGACTATTTTGAGAAAATCGTAAGCTTAATTTTTACGGGTTTGCAGTTCAAATCAATGAAAACAGTGTCAAAATTTCAAAGTATTTCAGAACAAATTGGAATAAAAAACAAAATTGAAAAAAAAATATTGAAAAAAGGATGGACAGAAGAGGGACAAATGTTATATTTTAATATTTTAAAAGTTGCACCAATCTTCCAAATAATCTGTAATCCTCCGGCCCTCCCCCCTTCCATGCTATAAAATACCCATTAAATATGCTCAATGGGACCTTCTAGTTATAGGGTGGCATGTCCAATTCACAACAATACCTTTTGAACCTTTTCCTGAACATGGATGAAAAAGATTTCCTGATAAGAAAACTGAATTGTTACTTATGAAGGAATCAGACATCATGCCATCATATAAATAGAAGAACACTTGAAATAAAATAAGTATTTTTCTGAGAATTGCTAAAAAGTAAAAATTGTTGACAGATTGGCGCGAAAAAAAAAGTTACGAAGGAAGCCACAATACAGGATCACATTGACTATACGCAGTAAATCCATCAAACTGTTTTTTTTTAAATTTAATCAAATAATGTTATTGCAAAAGTTGTATACAAGTTTTCGAGTTTGATGGATTGAGGTTGGAAACACAAATTACAGAAATCCAAAATTTGAATAATAAAACTTAATTTTTTATCTTGTTTTCATGTTTGGGATTTCTGAATAAATATTTGCAAGAAAAAGAAAATGCAAATATTTTGAGAAAAAATAGAAAATGCAAAATCTTTCAAGAGAAAACATTGAAGAAAAGATTTGGAAATAAAATGAATTTCAGATTTTACATTTTCTCATCAAATACTGGATGAAGATGAATGTGATTAGTTTGCTTGTTTAGCTTTAAAATCTTTCTTAAAAATCAAAAATAATAATCTTTAAAATTTATTTTTATTTTGTAAAACATCGATGATCATGATACACATGCAGTCAGGGACAACAAAAAGACATTTTTATGATTTATATTATTGTCCGATGTAAGTGTATGGTGTAAGTAAAAAAGGACTCTTGAGTAATTTCAAGTAACCCTGAAGAGCTTCACAAGAAGGATTCACAGCGATTCTCTTTTTAAATATTCGCAAGTCTAAGCAAAATTGATAAAGATATTCTTGTTTTTTTGTCAGTAAAAACAAAGATGTTCAATTATGGAGCCACTGTTTTTAAAATAAAAAAAAATAATATCTTTTTAATCGATGTGTCGATGGTATCGTTGTGAATGAGGCTATAAGCAACTCTTTAATTGGGAAATTAATCGACAGTTCCTTTATTGTGTGTTGTTGAAGTGTTTTATATTTGTGTAGAATAACCTGAAAAAGCATAAATGTTTTAAATCTAAATATGAAATACAAAAAATCAAGATCGAAACCGTAACTGAACACTCAAACTATAAATTGTATAATCATCATATCTTTGTACCACGACAGCAGTTTGCAAAGAAAATAAAAACTTATAATCAGTTCCTTTGTAAATCGCTGTCTTAAAGACTCGATATGCGCAAAATTGGTTAATGGACACAAATATAAGGGAATTAATTTCTGGACGACACTAGTTTAAAAACAGATAATTTGTGGGTGATCGATGTCAATGCTTTTAATTCCTATTTATTTAGAATTCTTCATTTTTTGGCATTAATTTTCATGTTTTATGTTTGTTATTAGAAACCTCAAAACTAGACAATTTGTATATTTTTTATCATAGATGTTCAATACTCTACCTGCATCAAAAAATAGAGATCGCGATATCTGTATATTACAGTGAGAGGAGGTCAAAAGAATCATGGGGTAACATATAATTTTTTTTTTTTGGGGGGGGGGGTCTGAAGATCTGAGCTTAATAAAATGCCTGTGATTATTTTGGATATTTACTATCACAAGTTTAAGAAAACGACTGGTATTGGAGTCTCTTAAAGCTTCGATCAATTTCAACATCGCTTGTATTTGTTTCGAAAAAAACATATGAGAAATTTCTCATTCATTGGTATTATTATAATTAATTACACATGCTTAATATAGTATCTATAATATAACATATTTAAATCTAGTTTTTATATACAATATATATATATATATATTTATTTTCATTGGCAGTCTTGGCACTTTTTTTGCGGGGAGGAAAGAAATCACACTAAAGAGTTTGCAATTTTACTTTGCAAATAGGTATTTTTTTCTTTTCATAATTAATTGCTTAAATGTATATGTATGAGTATGTATACGTAAATGCCCTCTCCTAAAAATTTTCACAAATTATCATTATATAATGGGAACATTATTTTATAACAGGGGTTCAATGACTGCTTTTTGGCACTTGCGTATTTTTCTGCTTTTGTGTTTGAAGGATTTCTTAGTCTGAGCTTGAGGTGGTTTTTGGCACAATATGGCGGAGTTTTATTTAGATTTTTTCATCTTCATTATCTAATCTTTTCAGAGCGATCTCATCTTTTCTAGGTTTATCACAGCACTTCACCATCATCGCCATCGCTCCATAGCTATAATAAATAGATGAATGATTTATATTATTTAAATTAGAATATGAATATTTTCTTTCTTTTATTATTCTTATTTTCCTGTCTTACTGTTTTCTTTTCAGTCTGTCTTTTGTTATTCAGTTTTTTATACCTTTGTTTATTCTTTTGATTATAAACTGTCGTTTATAGTTTTTCTAAAAAAGTTCATTCTACATTTTTTAAAACACAGCTTTTGCAAATCTCCGTAATAGAACAAAAATGACATGTATTCCATAGTTTGTTGTTCTGACCTGGTAACTCCGACTACCCTGGAACAAATGAATAATGTAGAACATGAGATGATGAGTATTATTGCTGGTATTGTGAAGAACAGAAGAAAGATCCACTGCAAGAATAATGCAGATAAAAATGTAGGAACTAATGGAACATGAATGAGGAGATTTATAAAATATGAATAGGTAATTACAATAATATTCACATTATTCTATCCTTCAAGGATTATATTGGCTGCCTACACAAACATAATTCGTAAGAAAGCAAAAAGTATATTTTTAACAAAAATGATAGAAAAAGAAAATTTGCTTGTTAATTGTTGTTTTTATGTTGAAGTGAATTCCTAAATTACATCCTTGTTAATAAAAGACAACTTCAGATAGAGTTTTTTTTTTTTAATGACTTTCAAAGTGAAAATTTGAATTAATCTGAACTTTAACCTTGATTCAAAGAAAAGGTTTAATTTGAAAGTTATCCCTAAAATCCGCATTAATTTACATTTTACAATGTGGTTTCTTAAAAGGAAAGCGCAAATATTCTTCTTTTATTTGTTTTAATTTCAACTTGTTATTCAATTTTGAAAGACAAGAAATATATTATAGGACAAATGAGGTATTGAATAAATTAATGTATAACATAGATAATTTTTGGTCAATTAACTATAAACAAGAAAAAGAAAGAATTTTGTAATTAAAATGATTTTTTACATTTTTCTGACCTTTTTTTTAAAAAAAAAATCCCAGCACCAGAGTTAGCGCCCTACTTTTTTATATAAGCTTGCCTTGAAAAATTGGGCTATGCACCTCAAGGCATTTTTCTAGAGGGGAGAGGGCCGGGGGAAAACTAATTTTAGGAATAATTTTTTCAGAGCCAGTAGCATAGTTTTGTGTTAATTTGTCTGCAGTAATTCCTGCCTTTGTTTTCAAAACATTGTATCTAGTCACTACAAACTCACTGTCATCTAAATATCAAGAAATTATAAATAAATTTCAAAATTTGAAGAGACTGACAGCGTAATTTCATGTGGTCTCCATGCAAAGGTGACAATGCTCGATTCACAACCGTACCCCTTAAAGTTTTGTCTGATCTGTTATGTATTATATATCAATGTAATAATTTGAAAACTGATTATTTTCAATTGTGGTTTCTCTACAAAAGTGACCAGCGCATTTCTACACTGCAAGAAAACATGACGATATCATCAGAATAAAGAACTGCTAAACCTAGATTATAATTAGATAAAGGTTTCAAGGGTACCGATGCTAATCAGGCAATTGGAAGCTTTGCATTATATAGGCCCCATCGTTTCAGTAGAAGTAAATATTTCCATTTACTGATAGCGCCGATATGGAGTAATCATGTAACTCTAATTGGATAATGAGATAGATAGAAAGATAAATTCTATTGGTTCAGAAAAGACAACAAACACAGGGCTGAACAATTGATTGAATCAGGCGCTAATAGAATCGGCATACAAGAGTGTAGGCCGTAGGGTCACTTAAAACCACGCTTGCAGTACCTTTCAGAAACAAAAAATAATTTTTTTTCGAGAAAATTAATTAATGATCTATATTTACAATTGTAAATTTGACCAAAACGTGCGTAAAAAACAAAAGCAGTATAAGATTTTAATTACAAAAACATCAAAATTTAGCTTATTGGAGAAGAAATAACTAAACATCTGTATATAGCTTGTCAAATATTTTATTCTTAAAGGAACATGTACTCGCATTTTCAAGTGACCCACCCCTCCATGAAAAGATGGCAATGCCCGATTCACAACGGTCCCGATTAAAATCTAAAGGTTTAAAGGGTACCGGTGTAAATCGGGCATTGATATCTTTACACTTGAAATTAGGCTTATATAACGGGCAGCCGTAGTACATTTAAATTTCCGAGCCGGGTCAACCTTTCCGGTCCCATTTTGTACTGTATCGCCCGGACATTGGGTAAAAAAACAGACACTCAATAGGACTAGCCAGTGTAACAAGGTTGACGCGGTCAGACTTTAGGTTGAATTTACTTTTACCAAAGGGTCAGATGTGCGTGGTCTATTTAGTTTAATCTGTTTTGTTAAAAAATCTACTTACGGGCTGCATAGAAGCACGGAAATCTGGAAGGACTTGTTTGGTTTCTACCATCCTTTAAAAAGTATAATCTATAAATCCTTTAAAAAGTATAATTTATAAATCCTTTAAAACGTATAATCCATAAATGATACTTTAAGAAACCTACAATCTATATAGATCCTTTTAAAAGTGCAATCAATATAAATCCTGTAAAAAATATAATCTCTAAAATATCAATCTAGAAAGTTACAGTGTAAACAGCAAAGGATAAGACTGCAGAGACGATTGTGCGGAATTTATTTAGCCTGAACACTATACACGATTTGCGTTTCCTCCAGATGTACATGTAATGGTTTTTTTTTGGCCAAATCATGCTCACTTTTATTCGAGACAGCAGAAAATTATAACCTTTTACAGTGAAAACTAGAAACCAGGAAGAAGACTTTTAAATCTAATTATAACTTTAAAATTCTCAAAGAGCAAGAGACACGACAATTGTCTAGTAAGACTATTTGCTTTGTGACAACATAAAATACAATTAAGTGTCGTCTTTATATTTCATTGTTTTATGGTTTTCACTGTGATTGTCCTTTGAATATAATCCGGACACCATGAAACCCTACAAATCATTGTTTACACAAATTTGTACTGCAGTTTCTGAACGAATGTAAACAAAGATAAATGAGAAAATTCTCCTAAAAACCTGGAAATAATCGCTTACAAAAGAACTGCGTACTGTAGTTTTTGAATCAAGGTTCAGCACCCCAAGTCCAGTTCACTTTTAGGATGTTTACCAGGAACTCATTTACTCTTTTTGTATAAAAAGTGTTCTACTGCTTTTGACATGATTGTAAAGAAACCCTAATGCGGCTCAGACTCTTTATGTAAACAGTTAAATTTTGAGACCAAATAGATTATCAAGTAAAATAGGTGGCAACAGAGAAATGGACCAAATGTACACGACGTCACAAGTGTCAAATATAGCAAGGAAAAGGGAAATTTTCTCACATTAGTTAACGTGTTTTCTAATATTAAATAATAAAAATGTAAAAACAGAAAATAAAGAACACATCAAATTGCACTTGTTTTACTTTAAGATCTAAAATTATCACTATTATTATTAATTTTCTTGGACACAAAAACTGAATTGACTCTTGTGACGTCAGAATACAGCTGCACTGCGAGTGTACAAATTCTACGTTGCCATCTATTGTACTAGAATCTGGTTGATTGAGACTGAAACTGGGGATTACGAAGATATATGTACCAGGCGGCAGGCACCTCTTGTCTTTGTTAACTATAGAAAGTGTAAACTCGTTTCTGGGAGAAATGTAAACAAACTCAGTACTGCTCGGACTGAGTTCTGTTTATATTCCACCTAGAAACTGCAGTACAGTTTTTTTGAATTATTTTCCTGGGAACTCATTGAATCTCCCGACTGTGTGATGCCGTTTAAGCATGAAATAATTGGCATATTTCTAGAAAAAAAAGTATCTGAAAAAAAGCTAAATTTTGCTTCCGATTTAACTGATTGGTTTTTAAGTACAAGAGAAAAATGATAAATTATCGTAATACTTTTTATGAACGTTATGAGAAGTGCAGTTGGTTCGTTAAACGAGAAATGAGAATGTAATTACGTCTATACTGTCCATTTAAAAATTATGATTCCACTTATAGAGAAAGGAAGCGAAGAGGTAAAGCTTACCTAGCTAGGATGTATACACAACCAACCGCCAAATTGATTAATTATTAGGGTGGTCGGTTGTGTACATCACGATATGTTTATGTATCTAACACTGTACACTTGTATATAGAGTGATCATATTTCCTGAGCCCAAAACTTAAGACAGAGTATCGTTAGTAAAACTAGTTTTAAAACCCGGGTTTCACGAATGGGGTTAGGCACTTTTGTGATTATCAATATTTTTGTAATGACATATTATTTCTTCAGGTTTTTTTATATTATCCATTTTTTCGAATCTCTAAAATCAAAATCTACACAAAAGTAAAGACCCCAAAAAGGAAACTCGGGAGTTTTGTTCAACGATACTCTTTTAAATTTCGGCCTTTGGGGGAGGGTTAAATGTAGATAGTTGAATATTAGTATTGATAGACAGATAGACACCAAATATGGATTGTATACACAGGATTGTATACTGAAGTACATTCCAGTTTATTTGTTTGTTTATGTTAAGACAATAATAAAAAAAATATTGAATCGTGAAAAATGTTTTTTTTTTCAAAATTCCACTAGACCTTTCAAGAGACTCAACCGTACATCCGGCCCTCTAGTTATATTTGATCAATTCCAAAATATCCCCCTTAGATATTGGGATGTACACAACCGACCACCATCAATTAATTAATTAATAGGGTAGTCGGTTGTGTACATCTGAGGTAAGCTTCTCCTCTTCGTTTTTATTACTCTATTAAACTAGACTAACCTGTCCGTGGTCATGAAAGAAGGGTTTACACTCATGTTGTAGTGTGTTCACACAACCCTCATGGTTTATAAGCAGTACACTTCTACAATAGTACAGTAAAGTACAATACCATAAAGTACAATACAGTACGGTGCAGTACAGTACAGTACAGAGAAGTACGCTAATTATTATCATCAATGTCATTATAAAATATAAATAATAATTTATATGAGTTATTTTTTAAGTTATTATATAATCATAAACCTCCCTCCCCCCCTTATGTAAGCTGTTATTGCTGCCTGCAGTCAATTAGCCCAAGTCGTTAGCTTTATAAATAGTAATCTCGAGGTCGAAGGGAAGATGTTGTTTTCTCGGCTTGCTTTCAATATCCTTGTTATCATCGTATCTATACCGTAAAGCATTCTCCTAAAATTACATCTTATGCAGCAAGTTTAAATTTTTTTGGCGGGCTAAATTCTGCCAAAGAGAACAAAAATCTGTGGAAATTGAAATCATCATTGTTTATTTATGTACGCAGGGAAAATTTTGCAGGTATAAAAAATAAATACCACGTATATACGTATAATGAGACATGTCGAATTGTTCTAAAAGCATTGTATTGTTAATCAATGATTTGAATACATGCATACAATTTCTTTCTTATCTTTTTTAATGCAAAAAAGTATCAATAATAAAACAAGTTAAAGTTAAATGTTAAAGAAATTCACCAGAAAATTAACAAAAACATAAAGTTAAAATTTAATTTTTTGAAATTCTAAATATTAAAAAATGCCCTAGCTTCTTAAAAAAAATTTAAATAATCAATTTATCGATTCACTTTGCAGAAGTGCACCCCCCTTGGCCCCAGCATTGCCCCCCCCCCCTCCATCAAAGCAATTAAACAACCAAAAATGGAAATAAATAATAGTTTTAGATTAAATAGAATATAAACAGTTTGTCTGAGGACTCGAAAAACTTACAGGCCCGGTCTTCGCGAAAGAAAAAAACATACTCAATACAACCTCCCCCCCCCCCCATATGGCAGGAATAGTGTTTAAAAAATGATGTGTTATGTAACCTTGTATAGTGCATAGATAGATGTAAGATTTGAATAGGAACCGAATATATTTCTAGGTATCAAGGAACCATTGATGCAATCAGTCACTCGAACTAAATCTAGAAAAAAAACGAGTTAACAAAATTGTAATTATGATTCGGGAGAAAAAGAAACATGTTACTGTAGTAACTGTAAGCGTAATTTCAACTGACTCTCTATTTCAAAGATTGGCAGTTCGGATTCACAAACTTCTTACTAAATTATTGAATTGACCAGTAAAAAGTTTTTTTGCAAAAAGAGCTTGGAAAGTTTTCAAAATTTAATCAAAATTAATTTAAATGACTTCTTGGATAGAACCAATGCAATTTAGTGAAGTGTTTCTTGAAATTAAAGAATATCTATTTGTTTTGAATCTATATATTTACCTGAATCTATTTGTTTTTAATCTTTATATTTACCTGAATCTATTTGTTTTGAATCTATATATTTACCTGAATCTATTTGTTTTGAATCTTTATATTTACCTGAATCTATTTGTTTTGAATCTATATATTTACCTGAATCGAATGCAGGTTCTAGGACAGTGCATGATGCAGCAAGTATCTTGTTTTCCATCTCGACAGAATCTTCCCAAATTTCCTCACCATTCCTTTATATTTATAAAATATTGGTCAATTTTGAAAAAAGCTTTGAAAAAAGGTGTTTTTCAAAAAAATTTAAGTGAACTTTAATAAAACAAGTAAGTGGCTTAAATCTTGATGGCATTTTTTTTAAATTTAATTTTATTTGGCTTGCTGCAAATATCTGAAAGTCGCTTATAAGGATTTGAAAATGATCAATTTGCATAAAGAAAAAAAGAAATCTTCATCAATTTTGCGCAGATAAAGGTATCGTTGTAAATTGAACATGGACCTTTAAAATTACGTGAACCGTCCATTATTTTAATTAAGTTTTGCAAGAAATTAATATTTCCAACCTTGAATTTATTCCATTTCTACAGTGTGCTGTGAGAATACTATGTCCGGCCATAATAAGAAGATTCTTGTCTTCCATAGGTATATCTTCACATTTTCTTCTACACGTCCAACCTGATACCCTGAAAACAAAACTTATACAGTGGTAACCAGAAAACTACGGAATGATCGTCGTCTTTTCTATTTCTTTTGATTACAAAGTAAGAATTTTAATTTGTCGCTAATTTTTCAAAATTTTCTCTGATTTTTTGAGAAACTAATTAGCTTCACTGACTGAAATTGCAAAATTTATTAAAAGAAAAAAGTAGACGAAATTCATTTTACTGTTTTCCTGTTGTCTCTGTATAATGTAAGTCTTACATATTAGTATATGGATTAGAATGTTTGAGTTTGTGGCACAGACTCCATAATTAGTTGTTTATGAAAAACAGATTTTATGATTAATGAAAAAGTATTTGAAACGGCATGGTCAAGGGTTTTTTAAAAAATGTATATTTTATCATTTTTGGGAAATTTTTTTGCAAACCTTTTTTCTTTATAACCGCTGGTTCTGTTTGTTCGTTTGTTTGTTTGTCCGATCATAACTCAGGAAACCCCTAGACAAATTTGTCTCAATTTTTGATTGGGAAACTTAAAAGAGCCACGGGAATGTTCATAGCTTTTCGTTATGTAGGTCGAATTTTATCGGAAAAATAGCTAAAATCGTAATTTACAACATAGCGCGGGTACGGCAAGACAAACAATGACTACCCAGGGCAACGCTGGGTTCCCAAGCTAATGAAATACATTGCTTGTCTGCTTTGTTTTCAATAAACGTCAAGATGGCTTAACCTATTGATATGGCATCTCACGTGACCCCAGAAACAGACCCTGGTTGGTCAAATTTGTCAGTAGAACCTGGGGGAAGTCTGTGGCTGGTGGGAATAAACAATGTTTCCCCGTCCCGGTAAAAGTATGGATATATCTTATTTTTGAAAAAAATTTATTTTTATTTTATACTAAACAGATTATACAGTTAGAACAGTAAAATGAGAAATACAGAAAGTATTATTAAAAGTGTGTTACCCTATTTGAAAAAAACATTGTATTTTTTGTTTAAATTAGATTTACAACTAATCGCTCGTTTAGATATCGATCTTGAGGAACAGAATGTTGTCTAAATAATCAAATCATTTTGGCCAGCATTTATTTTTAATTCAGCCTTTTTTTTAGATATTTTTCATCTATTTTATGATCTAAAGCTAACTAAGTTAAAATTCAATATCTTAAATTTAAAGCTTTTTAAAAAAACAAAAATTTACTTGCGTATCCTTGGTATTTAAAAGTTTCCTTAATGGCAACCATTTTATCGTAAGTATTTTAAAAAATGACGGATTTCCAAAATGTTTAATAAATCAAAATTACTTGTAAACAAGATTTTTTAATTTCGAATTGTCATGAATCTTCCCGGGGGTCATAGTTGGAGGGAGTGGGGGGGGGGGATTTTTACTGAAAATAATTTGTGCCTGATCTATTTAGTCGTTTGGCGTTTATTAGACGGACAATCCATTTTTACAAGTTTTTACCTGGAACATTCGCCATTTGTACAAACATATTCTCCATCTAGTTTAACACAATTCCTCTTATAGTAGCAGTTCAAGGGGTCCTCCTCATCCTCCCTTTTCCAGGTGCAGGAGAACACCTATATAACAGGCATTAAGATTTATACAACTCTGAAATTAGTCATTAAAATAGTTAACAGTCTCGATTTTAAAGTGTCGCAATGACTTGGCCTTTGGTTTTACTCACTAACTCACTTTTACTTTTTTGTAGCTCTAGGCATATACCATTAAAAATTACAACGCGCTTGTTTCTAGCTGAAATTAAAACGGGGTAAATGACAAAATAGTTTGCGATTTTTGAGTAAGTGCGTTGCATAATTTTAAATCTTGCATGGTACATAAAGGGGGTGTAGATTAAATTGACGGGTTATGAGGACTTTGACAAAATTTTTATTGAAAATTGTATCCCATGCGTTTAAGCTTTCCACAATTTTTCTTGGGATTGTTAACTATCAAAGACGACTTTAAATTCGACTCTCTCCTGATTACAAGACATGGCCTGTAATGAGAGCCAGCTAAATATGAAATAAATGTCGTATTTGTTCTTTTTTTAATCATGAATTGTCTCAAAGAATATCGAATTTTGAAATTCCTTCAACATTCTAGCGAAACTTAATTAAAAATTCTATTATATCTCTGTAAATTTTAGACACAAAATTAAAATGAAAACAAGATTTATAAATTCTCCATAAACTATGGAATCGAAAGACGACATTTATGCAGTCGATTGTATGTTTTATGATAAAGCTTTAAAATCAGCTGAAAATTAAATGGGCCTGTTAATCGGACCATCCAAAGTGTTAACTCTGAAATTTTATTAAAAATCTTTATTATTGTTTACCTCTGAAATATTTGTGCAAAGTCCTTCCTGGCAAATAAAGAGACCGTTTAGTTGAGTGCATTGGTTATTCTTCTTGCAGTTGTGTTCAGAAGCTGTATTAGAATCAAGAATAGGACATTCTTTACGGAACACATTCGAGCAACCCTAAGTCGTGAATAAAATAAGTTTTTGTTTAAACAGCCACAAACTAAAATTATGTTTGCTGCAATAGAAATGCGCAATTGCTACTTTTAAAAAGAAGCCACAGTTAAAGATAATCAGCTTTAAATTTATAAACATTGATATCTAATTCAGAATGGGTCAGACAATCAGGGTATTGTTAGGAATAGGGCATTGCCATCGGAAAGTTACTGAAAATTACGCTAGCAGTCCTTTAAGAAGTGTAGTTTTGATTTCAAAACTAAAAATAAACTTAAGTGATTAATTGATTAGATGAAGAGTGATTGTGTGCCTACCTCAAAATCAACATCAGTCCCATTTTCTCTAACAGCAACATGAATCTGGTCACATGGGCCACTACCCTTGCCCAGGCACCATTCTGTACAGCTGGAGGATGTACAGGCCTAGGTACACACGATATAAATATTCTGTACAGCTGGAAGATGTGCAGGCTTGCAGGCATAGGTACACACGATATAAATATTCAGTATAGCTGGAGGATGTGCAGGCCTAGGTACACACGATATAAATATTCTGTACAGCTGGAGGATGTGCAGGCCTAGGTACACACGATATAAATATTCAGTATAGCTGGAGGATGTGCAGGCCTAGGTACAAACTATATAAATATTCTGTACAGCTGGAAGATGTGCATGCCTAGGTACACACGATATAAATATTCTGTACAGCTGGAAGATGTGCATGCCTAGGTACACACGATACAAATATTCTGTACAGCTGGAGGATGTGCAGGGCTAGGTACACACGATATAAATATTCTGTACAGCTGGAAGATGTGCAGGCCTAGGTACACACGATATAAATATTCAGTATAGCTGGAGGATATACAGGCCTAGGTACACACGATATAAATATTCAGTATAGGCAGGCCTAGGTACACACGATATAAATATTCAGTATAGCTGGAGGATATACAGGCCTAGGTACACACGATATAAATATTCAGTATAGCTGGAGGATATACAGGCCTAGGTACACACGATATAAATATTCAGTATAGTTGGAGGATGTGCAGGCCTAGGTACACACGATATAAATATTCAGCATAGCTGGAGGATATACAGGCCTAGATACACACGATATAAATATTCAGTATAGCTGGAGGATGTGCAGGCCTAGGTACACACAATATAAATATTCTGTACAGCTAGAGGATGTGAAGGCCTAGGTACACACGATATAAATATTCTGTACAACTGGAGGATGGCCTAGGCCTAGGTACACACGATATAAATATTCAGTATAGCTGGAGGATATACAGGCCTAGGTACACACGATATAAATATTGAGTATAGCTGGAATATGTGCATATTAAATGAAATTAGTCTTTCTACTCTCAGCTTTTTGCAGGTCCCTTTGTACAAAATATGACGTCATAATCATCGTTACAAAAAAATATTTGCAATTTACAACCAGGGAATAAGAATAAAGGGAAGGGAAATGACGCTGGTCTGGCATGAGAAAGTCAGTCGCACTGCTTTGCAGACGAGTTCGTTATCACACACGCACACTCTTTTGGTACAGACACACAACATGACCACAGTCAAGGAAATTGCAGAACAATGTCGTCAATTATAATTAAGCTTTAATAACTTTAGTCAAATTATATTCTTTGCATGACAATTTGGCTTATAGTAATGACTTAAATATATAAATAATATATTACATGTTTATTAGACTTATTTTAAGTAAACAATTAACAATAAACAAATGTACTCTCCTGGACTGTACACATACCGAGATTCTTATGTACTGTGTATACCTACAGTACACGCCTTCGGTTCGTTATTGCGTACACACACTCTTTTGGTACAGACAAACATACATGACGTCTCCGCCTCCTTGTTTACAACTTTCATTAATAATTCATAATTTTCTTCATCCAAGATTGGCTGTCCAGATTGATTTCTTGGATACAAGTATGCATTCACAAGTCGTACATGGATTGCTCTACAACGTATAATAAAGGATCAATGAAATAAATAATTCATTAATTTTCTCGTGTAGATTATTAGCATAAATCAAAATGGTATTTTTAATACTTATAAGATCAGTGACTGGATTTAATGAATTTGAGACAGGTCTAGAAACAGTTTAACCACGTATTTTGAATCAGTGATTCAGAATTTTTCCCTTTCCTGTAGATGATAACTACGCTGCAGAAAAGTATAGGCAGTTCAGATATAACCTAGTTCAAATTCATTAAATTCGGTCCTGAAATTACCTCTGAATAATGTTCCTTTTTTCTTCGCTCAACTGTTGTACACATAACAGGGGTTTCTCCTATACCAGACTCCAGCTCTCTCTGTACATAAATAGTCATAGTCAGATCTATGTACTTAATTTTTCTGTACATGAATAGTCATTATCTGATCTATTTACTTAATTTTTCTGTACATAAATAGTCATTATTAGATCTATATACATAATTTGTCTGTATTAATTTTTATTTTATACTTATTTATCTACAATTCATCAATGTATTTAATATTTTATTACATAATTTAATACTTGTTATTTATCTATGTTCTTAATTTGTGTTTTAATAAATACTTAAATTATTCATCATATTACTATGTATCTTTGTATAAATATTAATAAGAATAAATACATATTAGTTTTGGCCTTCTTCAGCTGCTTCAACAAGCTTACCATTTTAGGATTAAAATAATTTAATCTTATATTATTAATAATATATTTTTATTAAAGGGACTGTAAGCGTAATTGCAAGCGAGCATCCATTGAAACGATATTCTTAAAATCTTTAGCAGATCAAAGATGTCGTTTTATTTTCTCAAAAAGTGTTTAATCCTGATCATTTCTCCATTGCTTCTGATAAGCAATCGAAATGAGCAAGCCACTTTCGCAAAGAAACCGGTATCGCAAATAAACAGTTAAAAAACGTGGACATCTTATTCATACTTGATCAGACAAACCTTTTAAGGGAACCGTAGTAAATTTGGCATCTCTATAATTGCAAGGGAAGGGTCACTTGAAAATACGATTACAGTCCCTTTAAGAAAGCTTTATTATTATTGTTGATATTTATTTTTATACCTTAGCAGGCAAATAGACAATAACCGATAGATAGATAATAGATACAGAGCTTAGAACAGCTAACCCCTGAAATAATACATATTAAAGTGACAGTATTTGTGATTTCAAGAGATAGATAGTTAATTAATACAGAGCTTAGAACAGCTAACCCCTGAAATAATAGATATTAAAGTGACTGTACTTGTGATTTCAAGAGATAGATAGTTAATTAATACAGAGCTTAGAACAGCTAACCCCTGAAATAATAGATATTTAAGTGACTGTACTTGTGATTTCAAGAGATAGATAGGTAATAAATACAGAGCTTAGAACAGCTAACCCCTGAAATAATAGATATTTAAGTGACTGTACTTGTGATTTCAAGAGATAGATAGGTAATAAATACAGAGCTTAGAACAGCTAAACCCTGAAATAATAGATATTAAAGTGACTGTACTGGTGATTTCAAGAGATAGATAGATAATAAATACTAAAATTAGAACAGATGTAGTCTGAGCTGTGCTTTCGTCTCCATTGTACTACTGTAGTCTGTACTTTACTGTAGTATGTACTGTACTATAGTCTGTATTGTGCTTTAGTCTGGACTTTATTATTGTTTGTACTGTACTGTACTTTGCACTGTGAGTTGTTCTGTACTTTAAATTTGTAATTTACTTTATTGTAGTCTGAACTTAGCTGTACTACAATGTTGTCTACACTGTAACGTTGTCTTTACCGTACTGTACTTTGTAAAGTACTTTATTCTGGTGCTATACTGAAGTCTTTGCTAAACTATAGTATGTACTGTTGTATCGTGGTTTGTAATGCTCTACTGTTGTACTGTGGTCTGTACTTCTCTATGTTGTAATGTAGTCTGCACTAAGCTATAGTTTGTAATGTTGTACCGTGGTTGGTACTGCTCCACTTTTGTACTGTAGTCTGTACTTCTCTACTGTTGTAATGTATAGTCTGTAGTCCTTTAATGCTGTACAGTACACTGTACTCCTCTACTGTTTTACTGCAGACTGTGCTGATTTACTGTTTTACCTTATTCTGTACTGCTGTATTGTTGTACTTTATTCTGTATTGCTGTATTTTTGTACTGTAGTCTGCACTGTTGTACTGTCTGTAGTCTGCACTGTTGTACTGTAGTCTGTACTAGTTTAATGTAGTCTGTACTGAATTGTGCTGTTGTACTGTAGTCTGTACTGAATTGTACTATTGCACTGTAGTCTGTACCTGACAAATACAGAGAGTCCCACAAATAACAGAATCTGCTCGCCATGATTTCTTATCTTCCTTCTCTTTCTCCTTTTTCCCCATTTTCGCAATTTTGTTTCTTGTTTTGTTTTTGTTTGGGTGGGTGAAGAGGGGAGGATGCTGGTAGAATACTGGAGGATTGGAGGACACAGACCAGCCTCCATACTCAAATAGATAGATAGATAGAAAGATAGATAGATAGTTAGATAGATAGATAGATAGATAGATAGATAGATAGATAGATAGATAGATAGATAGATAGATAGATAGATAGATAGATAGATAGATAGATAGATAGAAAGATAGATAGATAGATAGATAGATAGATAGATATTTAATATGACCAATTTTCCCTTCATTTTAGAATCCTCAGTTAATAATGTCAAGATAGTAATATCCATAATATAAACAATAAAGTATAGTTCTTAATCTCTGTTTGTTTGTCCGATCATAACTCATAAACCTTCAACCCCTTAAATCTAAAGATGTGTCCATCCCTACCAATTACTAAATACCTCAGGAAAAATACTAATTCTTACTAAATGCTTTGTTTTTTTCCTTATTTTTATATCAATGTATTAATTATTTTATTTTGTGCTTTTAATTTTAATGTGTTAAAACTTTTCATGAATTCTAGTCGGTATTAATTGTCAGATTGCTCAAATTTTTTCCTACAACAGTCAATTATAAATCCTTAGTTTTCAGACCTGATAACTAGTATTTACTCTAAAGACGTCGCTGAGGTAATGTTACATCGTCTATACGCAACATCCCCCCTACTGAACTTTTGACCTACTAATTTTCCGACCTACTGCAATATTGGACCTACGCCAGCTCTTCCTTTTTGTATTATTTGAGGGATAGGTTAGGTTAAGACAATATCTGGGCCGAGCGCTGCGGCCAGGACAGACTAAGGGTAAGAGCGCCGCGGCTAGGACAAGCAAGAGGGCCGGGCGCTGTTCCCACAAGTCCATACAGCAGCTGTAAAACCACGCACTATACAGGTCGGATGTCGATTATAAAGGATTTGGTGCAGTTCAGAAGCGGAGTATAGCGGATTTGCGTATGTCGAAAAATACATCATCCGTCGATGTAGAAAAATATATATTTACGTTTAGATTTTTGAAATCCGGTTTAGACAAAGAATATTGTGGATTTTCGAGGAACATGGTAAAGTCGATTGTGTAGAGTTTAGGTTTGCTACACTCTAATTTTCTGGCATTTCAAACACCATTTCAGAGATATGCAGTATACATGCTGAGTTTTCTGTTCTTGATTCTGCAGTTAAAGGCTTAGATGGTACTGAGTTGTAAATCGAGCATCACATAAAATTACTTTTACAGTCATTTTGACCAGCCGCCAAAGTAAAACATTTTGAAAAGTATATTCTCTTAATCTAGCCGCATGATAAATATATCAATAAACTAGCCGCATGATAAATATATCAATAAACTAGCCGCATGATAAATATGAAGTATATTCTACCATGATGTGCAATTCTAATTCGCTATCTGTATTAATAATATTATTATCTTAACTATTTGTATATTGACCCAGCCAGGCTAGCCCGGTCAGTTCATTTTACCTGTTTATAAATAAAGTAGTTGAATATCATTTGTTGATTAGAACGGACGTATACAGAGCCTTGAGTGTTGGCTAGAGATAGAGAGCCTTAAGTTTTGGCTAGAGATTTAGTTAAATATGATCTCATTAGACTTTGAGTAAAGTAATCGTTA